CTGTGCCGCAATGAACATTGGAGCACAGATGTCTGGCCGTGGTTTGTTTCTTGCCTCTTCTGGGTATATGCCCAGTAGGGGGGTTGCTGGGTCATATGGTAGCTCAATCTCCATCTGGGTCATATGGTAGCTCCATCTCCAAATTGATTTCCATAATGCCTGTACATAGCTACAAGTCCACCAGCAGTGGATGAGAGTTCCTATCTCCCCACATCCCTTCCAACATTTGCTGCTTTCTAATTTTTGAGTTGGGCTAGCTTTGAGGGTGTTAGGTGATATCTCAAAGTTGTTTTAATTTGCCTTTCTCTTATGCCTAAAGATTGGGAACATTTTCTCATATGTGTATTGGCCCTTCAGATTTCTGCTCCTGTATCACTGCAGAAATGGAGGGCGGTCTTCTTGCTTTGCTGCCCCTCAACTGTAGCAAACAGGAAGTCCTTCTCCAGGTACAGGTGCCTCCTGATAAAAAGGTCTAAAGTACGTGAGATGAAGTCTCTCCACTCTCACCTCTAAGGAGCATCTTCCTCCAACCCAGATTTGTTCATTTTCTGGCAGTCCATGAGCCTTTCCATCTTCTTCTCCAGCACTGTCATTCAACGGTATTCATTCTTGGCAGGACTCCTTGATTGGCTTTTAGATCCGTCAAGGTCAGATGTTAGAAACCACCAGCCTCTCCTCAGGAGAAAGAAGAGACTTTCTATCCCCACAGAGAGTGACAGTCTCAGAAACACACTGGGCGGGCCCGCCTTGTCCTAGGGGTCACTGTGAGTCAGCACCAGCTCACTGACAGTGGGGGTCTGGTCTGTCGGTGCACCAGGGTAGGGGTTATATGTGCATTTCACAGATGAGGAAGTTGAATGGCAGTAAGGGAGCTGGGAGCCTCTGAGAATTCTGAGCTCCTGACTCCTAGCCTAGTGCACATCAGAAGACAGGCTGCTTTCTGGCCTCCTTCCAGCCTCCTGGTCTGGTCCCGTGGCCAGTGTGGGGAGTGGTTGGCAAGAGGACTCCAGACCTGACAAGGTAGGAACACCCGTCTGGACGGGCACAGACCTAGTAGTCCTTTCACCGCTCTTAGGAACTGCGGGCTCAGACAGGCTCCCTCACAGGTGGGCGTGGGTGGGAGGGTGGTTCCATAGGTACCTGGCTTGATCTCCTGTCTGAGCAAATCCAATTTCATGCCTGATGGGTCGGGAAACTGCTACCAAATTGCTATGGTGCAAGTAGCTGCCCAAGGAGTTTCAACATATCCTTTCCTGGAAGAGGAAGGTAACTGACATAGACAGTCCTTGCTGCTAGGGGCTCATTCGATGTTGGACTGGTGCTCATTCAGCCCCGTGGCTCCTGATGCACTGATGCCTGAGCTCCATACTCATGCTGAGAACCCCGAGGTAGGTTTGAAGAGCAAGGTTGGGCAGGCAGGGGTGGTCTCTGTGATGCACGATGAGCAGGCACAGCTGGCAGGGCCAAGCTGGCCACGAAGCATTACACT